GGGAGAAAGGGAGTACAAAGCGGAATTGAAAAAGAGCAGCCATAAATAATGTACTTGCGGCGCAGACGCCATTAAAATAAAAAAAAAAAATGAAACACACACACACACACAAAAGACTCTGTAAGAATGTGTGTATGTATGTGCATATGGTGTAAATATATGTATGCAAAAGTAAGTGTGGTGCATGCAACAACGACCCTGTTCCGAGTGTGTACCTAATATGTATGTTTGTATGTATTTGCAACAAAAAGCAATATATAAAAAAAAAACAAAAAAAAAAATAGCCTGCAAAGGGCGCGAACGGAAGAGAACCGATAAAGAAAATATTTCCTGCTGCAAGTACACTTCGCGCTACGACAAAAGCAGCATCTGCGAATTTTCCAAACAAAACAGAAAACGCCATTACTTATGTAAAAAGTACACTGGGCCATTCATTCAGGTGTCTACCGTTAAAACACAGTGGCCAGTTTCACCCTAATGTGAGTTTGGGTGGTGAATTCGTTGGCTCATACAGCGCATTTTTTACAATGCGGGCAACTATTTTTTAACTATTTTATTTTTCGCAATTTTTTTAATAAAAATATGGTTAATTCTCCAAGAAAAACCCCAAAAATAAGAGTTCCAAACCATGTGCAAAATTAAAGAAAATTCTGCAAAATTTCATTCAAATATTGCACTTTATATAGTATACGCTCTCTAGAAAAAAGTTGAATTTTAGTATAGTATGAGGAAGCTAGGACCCAACATTGATTTTAGGAATATTTTTTTGTTGAAGTTGTCGCACATTTTTTCCATAGGTACCTAAAAACAAATTTTCGAACATTATTTTTGGACAGAATTTTATTTAACTTTCCGTAAGGTTTGGAACTCTGAGTTTTGGGGTTTTTGTTGTAGAATTAACCATATGTATGTTAATAAAAAATTAGCGAAAAGTAAAATATTTAAAAAATAGTTACCGGTTTTGTAAAAAATTCGCGGTACCTAAACTTTATTGACTGACTGTACATGCAAGTGGCAGGCAAATAAAATTAATGAAGGATGAGCCATATACCTATAAGTAAACAAAGTTTGTTCTATATTTTAGGTAGGTACCCGATTTAACTCTACTCTGTAAAGAACTATCTATTTATTTATTGTAATATTAGTTATCAGAATATTTGTCATTTTAGTGTTTCATCTGAAATCAATTAAATCAAAACAAAAACTATTTATTAGATTTATCGTTTATCTCTCTACCCTAGGTTTTTTTTACAAAATCAAAATCAAAAATCGAAATATACAATTCAACTTTTTTGTTTTGAATACCTATTCCAAAGACAAAATGCTACAGTCGTTTTTTAACCGACTTCAAAAAGAAAGAAGGACGGTTATCAATTCATACATACAGTCAGTGTCAAATGTACGTGTACATCTTGTTATATAATAATATGTACTCATAATTATTTTCATGAAGAATTTTTTCATTAATTATTTATGAAAATATAGTGAATTCTATAACAAAAAACATATAAACAAATATTCAAACAATTTTCATCATTTCAAAAATTTTATTCAGAATTTCCAGAATTTCGAGTATGCAGTTTTGTAGCTCAATTTTAGTAGAAACAAAGGTAAGTTTTAAATAGCTAAAAATTATCGTTAATTTTTTAGATTTTTTTTTGTGGAGGGTGTTACGCGTGATAAAAATCTATTTCTATATGAAAGAAAATGCGCCACACCCTCCACAAAAAAAATGTTATAGAAATCAACGGTAATTTTTAGCAACATGAAACTTGCACTTTGTTTTTCTATCGCTGGAAATCTTATAGTTTATCAAAAAACCCGAACTCGAGAAAAAAACAAAAAAAAAAATATGAACTTAATCCACATTATCCTAAATCCGTCAATCTGAAAAAGTGTCACAACTTCCTACATACTTACATATACTATATGTAGGTACAACGTATATTGCCATAAATTTTATAAAAATTGAAAATATAGGTATTTGAATGATTCACAGCAACAATGAACAATTTTTAACGTTTTAATTTATGACTTTGTGACAATGTAGCTTTTATGACACCTTGTGCAACTCCTATCTATACAAATGAGTTAATTCTCCAGATAAAGCTTAATACATAAATAAAAAATAATTCGAATTTGGTGAAAATTAAAATATTAAATTCACACCAGGAGTGTATAAAACATATGTACATACTCAGCAAGTACATACATATTTAAAAATAATGTGTGTAAATAAAAATTTGCAAAAAAATATGAAAATAAAAATTTCAATTGCGACAAGTGAAAGGCGGAAAGAGCTAAAAGCGAAAAAGGAACTCCACCAGAGGCAGAGTGAAAATAAACTGTGTCTACAACATTAAACAGCATTAACGGCGACAATAACAAAAAACTGGTACCGCAATACAAGCTGGGGCAAAATAACAGCAAAATCCAGCGGCGCGCTCAAACGGCAATAAAGCAAAACTTCACAACATAAAATAGCGAAGAAAACAAGACAGCACCGCGACAACAACAACCACAACAACAAGCACATTCGAATATATTCCACGTAAACAAGGTTTTAGGTTGTTTATTAACTTCATTTTTGTTGTGCGAATTGTGGTAGATTTGCTATGTAAAAAAAAAAAAAAAAAAAAAAATTAAATTGTTACATACTTTGTTTCTGCTACTGCTTAAAAAAAAAACATACATACATACATACATATGTACATACGCAATTAAAACTGCTTTTCGCTATTCATTTATGTAGGTACATTCCATTAGACTTTTGCTACTTTTTGCATTTTTTTTTTGACTGCAACTTTATTTTGTTCACCTCTTTTCCATCCAACCTCAAGCAGCGCAAAAATAAATGCAAAAAAAAAATACATACAAAACTTCCAAACTACAACGACCGCCCTCCCGACCATATCTACCTCACAACAGTGATACCGATCGCCTGTCCGTCCGTCCAAAAGTCGATGACGACGACAATGACCTGGATTTGTGCGTTGGAATTGTTGGAATTGTTGTTGCCGCCATTGTATTGTCATTTTGTTTGTGTGTGGTTTTACTGTTACTGTTGGCCTTTTTGTTTTAATGTTTTCGTTTTGTTGCCACTGCAGCATTCGTGGAATTTCTTTTCGACGTTTCTGCCTTCATTTTGTTTTTTTTTTTTATTTTTGTGGCTTTTGCCATTGTGTTTTGCACTTTAATAAAAGTTAGTTAGTCTGTTAAAAACATTTACTACTGTAAATACATATGCATGTATATATATATGTATGAACATGATTGTACCTAATTGTTTGAAATTTTCGCCCCTCAACTTCCCAAAAAAAAAAACAAAATTTTGTTACTGTTTACGTTACCAGGCTATATGTATTACGTTCGGAGGTTTTGTAAAATGCGGCTAATGATTTGGCAGATATGTACCTACATAAATAAGATTTTTTTTTTACTTTGTGCATACATACATATGTAAGTATGTATGTGCAAAAAATGCAAATAAAGTTTTAAAAGTGTGCCGAATTATGACTTCTTATAATTTTATGCAACCGGAGGTACACACGCAATCATAGAATTCAGACAAAAATGTGCATACAGTGTCTGTCAAAATCGTGCAGTACTTTGTTTTACATATTTTGAAAAAAACATAGGTACCTACATATTTGCTTTTATTTAATTTTTTTTTTAATTTTTAATGAAAATATGAAAATATACCCAAATTTTATTTTTCATACCATGATAAAAACATTATTCATACTAAATACAACAAAATTCATACAACTCAAAATTTATAACTTTGTAACAGTTACAAAAAAATAAACCCCTAAACTTTCCATCAAAATTTCAAACTTTTTAGCAACTTTTTTGTTGAAGGTGTTGCGCCTTTTCTTCCATATAACGCATGGACAAATTTTATAAAAAAGAGTGAAATTTCCATGAAAATTTTAGGGTTTTTTTTTAATTGTTGCAAAGTTAAACTTTTGAGTTTTATGGATTTATTTTTTATCAAATAATAATAAAATTTTAATAAAACAAAATATTTTCTGCAATTTTTATTGAGCTTGAGGCCGTTTTTAATGAAAAATGTTACTTTTCCACAATAAGTTTTTCATTAAAATCGGCCTCAAGCTCTATAAAAATGGTTGAATATAATTGTTATAAAGCCATAAAATAACAAAAACAAAACAAAATATTTTCCATATGTGGAAAAAGTTGATATACGATTTTGACTATATTTTCTTTTTATGTATGGAATATTCGAAAGGAACATGAAATGGCAACTGAAAAAACCACAGCAACTTTTACCACAGTTATGTATCTACATACATACATATGTATGTATGTTTATGAACAGATATGTAAAACTTTATGTATTTAAAAACTTTCAGTAAATTTTTGATTAAAAAAAAAAACTGTATATTACCTACATATGTACCTACTAGAAAAAATGCTCATTTAGATTACTTTGTTATCGCGTCTAAAAATAAGCTTTGTATTTTATAATTAAGTACCTATGTATGTACCTAGTTGTAGGCATTTGCGAGCTAATTAAAATTTTTGATTAAGATGACGTTTTTATTGATTATAAATTTGGGATTGCTTTAACTCGCAATTAATCACAAAAGCAAATCTTTTTTATATACATATGTACATATGTATGTATTTACAATCTGCGCCTATTTTTCATATTTCGTTGTTCAGTTTTGCATAATTATTTATAGTTTTCGAATAATAATTGATTTTACGTTAACTTTTACATTTAATATTCTAATTAAGAAGGCTTGAGAAAAACCTACAAATCCAGGTCTGACAAAATTATTGAGGTAGAATGTTTAGAAAAAATTTTGCGTTTTCGCTTAGATTTGAATTTGAAGTACATACATACATATGTACCTACAAAGGTAGGTATTTTTCCACTTTCATTACTTCAGAGCTCGATGGAATTATTAAAATAGCTTCTCTCAAAATTTTAAATTTTGGTTGATTACTTAGTTTCATAAGAAAATATTTACCTTTATTGATTTCAGGCGACGCACAACAAAATTGTTGATTTTATTCGACCAGCTTTTACATTTCATTGGGGAGGCTGTTTGTGTTTTATTAAAAACTCAAATGTAATAGAAATAAAAATGGAATTTAATAAACTCGAATAATCACTGCCATTTACAGAATTTTCTTCAAATCTTGTAATTTAATATTCACTTTATGCATTTGTTGGCGATTAGTCATTTTCCCAGTTCAAACAACTCGGGGATTAGTTTCTATGCACATTCTACTTTAAATCACTTTTTCGCAAATAATCCCGTTTTTTTCTGCAGCAACTGCACTGTATTTATTTTATCCTTAATCACACAAATTTTTATTGTAGCTTTACAATTTTCTAAAAGCTTTCAAGTTGACACCAGACTTTTAGATTTTTTAAGTTTAACTATAGCAATTCTGGACACTTCACTTTGCTGTGTAAATATTTTATTAATACTGTTGAAAAAATTCCTTTTGAGTTTTCACTCTAATATTTATTGTTTGGCCTTTTTAGTAGTTCCTTTTGCATTTGTGTTCAGGCCTTAAGACAAAAAGCTTAAAACTTGAAGAACTGTTTTGTTGCACTTTTTCAAAGAAATATTTGGCGCTCCAATTTTATAAATTCGCGTTCACAATGCGAGCGCTTTTATTTCGAACATCCAAACCGAACAAAGTTTAAAAATAAACTGTCGCTTCAGTTCCGCTGCGAACGCTATGGAGCGGAGCTGCGATGAATGCAGCTCAGACAACGTAAAGTGGAAAGAAAATTTACGAACGCAGTGGAAGGAAAACGAAACAGTTCCCCTTTGCGCACAGCGAAAAATCCCCTACACGATGACAGCGTTCGTACGTTGGCCGACTCTCTGTTTTGCTTTTTTTGTCGTCGTTGGCGCTTCGTGCGCTGCTGCCACACGGTATGTTTTTACCAAAACTGGTAGCTGTTTTTCTTTCAGCTGTGGCGAATAAAAATTTTCAATTTCAGTGGCAAAATGTTCGTTATTATTGTTATTTTAAAATCTTTAAAAATTAGGTGTATCCAGTTTTAAAAAAAAGTATTATAATTTATACGGTAAAGTTTAGATTTTCAACATTTTCATTTTGAGGAAGCCTTCATTTAAGTTTACCACATTACCTACTTACCGAGTAAGTCCTCTTTCAGACACGTCAAGTCTTGAAAGCAATTTTTTTTTCGCATTCTCTTTTGTGTTTTCTATTTGCTTCCACACGCGTCAACTTTAATTGAATTCAAGTCCTTGGTTCTTAAATTGGAAGCAACGAAAAGATCAAAAGGGACAAGAAAACTTGAAACGAATTGACGGTACGGAGGTATCTGTACTCTTCCCCTCTCTTCCCACCTCCATCGCCAACGAACGAGCAGACTTGAAAGCAAGACTTGACGTGTCTGAAAGGGTACTAAGACTCTTATGCTGGATTTCCACTAGGCATTTAATGGCAAAAATGAGAAATGACAAAGTTGGGCATTACAAAAAATATGGTGTCATTGTGTGAAAAACAGAAAAATGGTCAGTAAGTTCATTTCCAGATGGAATTTTCTTAAATGGCATACATTTTTTGTCATTTCAATGCCTAGTAGAAATTCGGCATTAGTTTTACACAATTTGTATAAACTGCTTCTTGCGAAAAATTTTAAATTTCTTAGCTAATTGTTTTGTGTGGATATTTTTGATCTCGACCTAAGAAAAGATATTTACATATTTTCGAATAACTATGTTTGTCAGTAAATTAAGCATACCGTAAAAAGTTAATTACTTCATATACATTAAAGTGGGCCAAAAATGTAGGTAAAAAAATAAGGTCGGAATTTTAATACCTCCACCCCCTACGATTGTTATATACCGCAAAAATTATACCCATATTTTTTTATTTTGAAATCAAAAAATATTTAGGGAGTGCTCAAAGCGCACAAAGTTTTCCAAGTATTTTATAATGAGAAAACACAATTTTTCGTAGAAATGGTATAAAACTCTTGAAATAAAACTCCAGTATTAATAGCCAATTGTTTATTTAACCATTTTTTATGATAAAAGATTTTTTATTGGTCCCCCCATTGCATTATCTAAGGGCTTTGGAGGACCTACAAAATATAGTTACCATGAATAATTGTTAAAAAAAACAATTGGGTATTATTACTGGGAGTCTCCTGAAAATAAGTAAAGTTTTTCGATCGAAAAATATTGATTTTCAAGAATTCTACACTATTTCTACGAAAAGATGTTTTTTCTCTATATAAAATACATGGAAAACTTTGAGCGCTTTGAGCACTCCCTAAATATTTTTTGATTTCAAAATAAAATAATTGGGGTATATTTTTTTCGATATAGATCAATCCTAGGGTGTGCCGGCATTAAAACTCCGACTTCATTTTTTTGGACCACTCTAATATACATATATAATTATATATATTTTTTTTTTATCTCATTGATTGTGTCTATGAAAAAGTAAAATCCAATTTTTGGCGAACGCTTCTAAAAAACAATTTTTTTTTGATATCTCAAAAATGGATGGCATTTGACTAAAGTAAGATTCCTATATCAGTTACTACATTTTTGTTAAGCGACATAAGGCTGTTTCACTCAACACCGAATTTTATTAAAATCTTAATTTTTGTACGTTTCGAAAGGAATAAATTGGGGACTTACGAGGGTTTATTTAAAAGAAAATATACCGTTATACTACCGGCTGATGTGAGTTTCGTTAACTTTTGGGTGTTTTCGTCTATTGTTTTGGCTTAATTTTTTTTTAAGTGTGTGGCAACGTGGGTTCACTTGTTTTCATTTCGTGTTGTTGTGCCGAATTGCATTAGCGAAGTTAAATTAAAATGTTTATTTTTTATTTATAAGTGCCTGCATGCAGTCAGTATGTACATATGTATGTATGTGCATACTTCTGTATGTATGTACTTTGTACAAATGATAGATAGATAAATGTGTGGATAGTCTCGTAAATACAAATCCATAAGTACTTTACGTGTAATTTGAAAAGAATTTCAGCAATGCATTCGAAATGGTGTCGTTGGGGAACAAGTCCCCATCGCTCTCTCTCTCTCTCTCCTCCTGCAGCAGGCATCTTTCTTCTCGTCTCTCCCTCTCTTTCCGACTGTTCCATTCCGCTTGCAATCCACAGTTTATTCGCTCGTTCTCCGTTATTTACATAGTGAACCACCCAAATCCGAAATCAAAACGAAACCGCGCAGCGTTCGTTCAACTCGTTTTGTTGTTTTGCAGTGTACAAAATTGTTTAATCTTCCTTTGCCTTTGCTATTCCACTGTTTAGTGGTTTTGTTTTGATGTTCTATTTTTGTTTTTGATTCGCTTGCTTTTCGCTGTTTGAGATTACAAGCGGAAGTTGGGCGTAGAGATTGGCGTGGAGATGCTCCAGCAACAACAACAACAACAACACTTTGGAACCAAAAATTAAATAAAATGAAAACAAGAACTGTAACGGCGCGCCGCCGCCAACTCCCAAAGTCGCTTCAACCACCATCACCACGAAAACTTCACTAACAACAACATACATAGATAGACACATGCCTACATACATATGTACATATGTATGTATTTCTATTGTTTTTTAGTAGGGGGCGGGGAGGGTGAAGGTGTTAAACATTGTTAAATTTTTTTACTAATTTCTCATAAAAATATATCTTATTAATTATAAATGAAAATAAGTTAAATTTAAAGCGGCAACCTGGAGTAGGTAAATAGTTCAATTAGAATTTCGAACTAGCTCGTTCGATCAATTCAATGACCTTGTGCATTAAACCAACTAGCTCGTGAACTTCCCAATTAAATTCGCCTTGATTGCTGAAATTAATGTTTTTATAGTGTTGCTAATGCGAAATTGGAGAGTTGCAATTGTGACTAAAAATTAAAATTTTACAAAAAGTATTCGGCACTCTAGGTACATTTTTTAATGATTTAAAACTAAATAGTCAAAATTCCAGCAAAAATCGGTTATTCCCCGCAAATCGGGGAATTCCCCGCAAGTTGGCATCGCTGACAGCCAAGAAGGTGTCAAAACCAGTGTTGCCAGAGAGAATTTCGTTTGGAGCTAAAACGGTCGAAAAAAAGAGCTAGAAAGAGCTAAATAATACTAATAGTAGCTAAAATGAACAGCTACATATTTTTGTTGAGGTTGAGCATTTATTGACGTAAGGTTGTTTTTACATTTCCAATTAGCACCGCGCAACTTAGTTAAAGTTTCGGCGACTTTTAGGAAGAATTCAATAATAATTAGAAACTTTTATTGCATTCATACTTACATATCGCAGACCTAGATCTAAATTGCGATTAACTCAAACAAATTTTGTGGCAATTTTTATTGCATAAATCAATTTATAGGACTTACATCCAATTAATGAAAATATTTTTTTTCTCCATGATTATATACACTAACTAAAAAACTACTGTTATACCTGTGTTTTTTTTTTATTAATTGTTTTGAATAATTAAGAAAGTATATGCATACCAAGCATGCACAGCGGTGGCAACACATACATACACGCAAACATACATGGTACATGCCCTGCAGCAAATCAAGCTGGTTCAGAACTTTCGCCGAGCTAGCCTGAAAAGGGACGGTATTGGTTCTTTATCTATCCGAAATCAATGCTTTCAACTGTCTTTTTTAACATGGCGATGTCCTACGAAGTGACAATCGTCGCCCTCTGCAGAACTTTTGAGCTTGTTCTCAACTGAATCTGGCTTAGATGGTTCAGAGGCAGTTCATACAACAAAAGTTCCTAGATAGTTCAAAAAGGGTCACCTTCGGGCTAGAACAAATGTGGTTAGTTTTCAACTGGCTCCAAGAAGTATAGTCTAGAGTATTTTCTTTAAATACTGTAATTGAATAAGCACGCATACAATTTTGTAAATAAATAATATTTAATTTTATGATTTAAGAGCTACATATTTGTTTTGCACTACATAATTTACTTTTTGAGGCAAACTGTGCTTTAAAATTAGCAGCGTAAAGTGTCAGTTATTACTTCATTTTCTAAAACCGTTATTATTAAAAATAATTTATATTTTTTACGTATAATGGCTATTTCTGTGATACTTATAATTAAAAATTTAAACTAAGTTGTGTGAAAAAATGAAAAAAAAAACGGTGATATGTTGAATGCTTATTTAGGATAACTCAGCGTTAAATTGTATTAAATCGATTGAAATGTAGTACGTAGACTCTCCGGCATCTAATAAGAATAGGTATGTACATAGAATTTTGAATATTCAGAATGGTTTTCATGCTAAATAGTTTTCGTACATTTTTTGTTTAAGGATGCCCCATAAGTATTATAACATAAACATATAAATTCACGTTTCTGTGTTGGAAATTTAGTATAGTCTAGAAACTGTTGTAAAAACTTCAAAATTTTAAATTGGAGTTATAAGAATGCAGTTCTATAGACCCTTAAATTTTAGTATAATTTATCGCGCTGATTTTTCATAAATCTTTTTACCACGCTCTTGAAGGTATTCTTCTATTTAAATATTTGTTAGGAATTTGAATTTAAATGGTTTATGGAATATGAGACATACTTAAATAAAAACTTAACGAAATATATTTAAAATGAAAAACATTGGAAATAAAAAAAAATCACTGCATAACTACAC